GACACATTTATGTCTCTGTCCCTGTCTTCTTAGTTGTGCCATAGTTTTCTGAGGTCAGGTACAACCATGTATCACTCCAGTGTATTATTAAACACTTGCCACATTCTAATTGTTAATTGTACAAGTGAATGGTGGTTTTGTTTTTGCACTCCGTCTTTTTTGATGACACCCATCATTAGTGGGATTCCCCCATCCACCTACCCACTCACACACACATATACACCAGCACATTGAGTTCTCATGCCCCAAATATCAAATACTATTTTTCCTTAATTGTATTAACTTATGCCCACTTTTTCAAAACTTCCTGCATTTAAGAAGTCTTGGCAGTGGCTACAGTTTATAATAACTCTTGGTTTTACATTTCAGTAAATATTCACTATCTTGTGGGGTGCAGTTTCATGTTGCTAGCTTAGCTGGGGGTGAGGTGGCAGGTTTAGGAGTTCAGCTAGCTGGACAGGAGGAAGGATATGACAAGTATGGTCAACTGTGTAGGTAGACGTCAAATTCCAAGATGTGGGGATACTTGTATCTCTTTTTATCTGTCAAGTAGTCATTCCCCTGGGAATAGCACCTCTTGTCCTTCAAGGAATTACTGTTTTCTCACATCAGCTATGTCATTTTGTTGAAGGGATTTTCATGACTGCTCAGCAGCTCACGGTCCAGGCTGGAGCATCATGATCATTTTCTGGGATGTTTTAAAGTCTGGAAAAAGAGTGAATTGTGAGTGGTGCGTGAGGCTGGTGGTTTGCTATAAACTTGGAGTTGCCTCCTGTTCTTATCTGAAGGAAGACTCTTCTAAGGTCAGGAGCCCAAGAAAGAGGCAGGGCTCGTTGACCTCTCTAGCAGCCAGGATTCAGGCCAGCACCCCAACACTCTCCATAGAAAGATTTGTTTCAGTCTAGCAAATTCTCTGTCTAGAAAACAAATCCTCTGTTCTCCACCCAAACTTTCTGGAAATACAGTGACCCGTAAGTTGTTATTTGTATAGAACTCACTGATAAGTTTAAAAAGGTAATAGTTCTTTCAAATTAAGATCTAAGTTAGTATTTTCTCATTTAATCCACATTTACTGAGTTCTCACTGATGTTGGCCATCATACTTAACTAAATGCTTCAGAGAAAAGGGTCACTGAAACAGACAGACCCAAATCAAGTGGCTTACTATCTAGCACAAGGGTATAAACGTAAATCAGTGCATGCCTAACTCCACAATGCAAGGCATCACATAATAAATATCATAAACATCATGTATAATGTGTGAGTTTGGTAGACGAATGGTTTTCAGTGGAGGAAGATCAGGGTTGGCTGTATTTGAGATTCTTCTAAAGTGTGGGTGGCCACATCATGTCAAGTTGATTCACCTGCATTCCAGATGTCAGGCAGGTTTATGGTATCTTGTGTACATGGTCATTCAGTGTGTTTTGATGCCTTCACATCTCTTATGTTAAAAACACTTCTTAGCACTTGTTTCCAAGGTTCAAGGCAGAGATGACTAAGGGAAGAAAACAATGCTTGGCCATTACTTTAAAAAAAAAAGCAACATGATCCTTTACAAATCAAACATGCTCTTAATATAATATTTTATTATTCTGAAAGCCTTAAATCATTGTTGGGGAGGTTGAAATAAGTATTTTTGTAGGACTTAGTGAGCACTGAATGGTATTTGTATCCAGAATTTAGGTATTAGTGAACTTTCAGAGAGGTTACTAGGTTCTTAGATAAATGCCAAATTAATGTAAGTTGGCGAGGACCAAGGCACCCAGTAACAGAAGAGAGGGACTAGCCGGCTGACTTAGATTGGAAGCCCTTATGAGTGGAAGAGCCAGCAGGAACAGGAAACAATGAGAGAAGCATGAGGCAAAGCTAGAAAGATTGGCAGAAAGTATGGTACCAAACTTAAGGGTAGAACTGACAGATGCTGGAATTTCTGACATGCCTTTGGTGAACATGAAATCAAGGTGACCCAAGGCATTGACTTCACTTATACATGGTAACAAATGACTAATTAACCCCATTAGGCAAGCAAACGACACATAATATATCCATATATAATGCCGAGTAGTAAAGTGAGATGAAAAAGTGAGATGAGTGAGATGAGGGAGTGAGCCATAATAACTGAAGATGGGTAGGAGGGATATGTACTTGGGAAATCGCAAGCATCCCAGTGTAACAGAAATGAGTAGCAGGGAGGGTATGGTAGGGTGGTGGGGAAGAGTATGGAGAGGCTGTTAGAGAGGTAGTCAGAGGCTACACTGAGGACTTGCAGGGCATGCTAAGATTTTTGGTATTACACTAAGTGTGCTGAGAAGTCATTGGCAGGTACTGAGTAGAGGGATGACATGACTAGACTTAGTACCTGAATCAGATCATCCTGGCTGGTGTAGGACGTAAGCTCAAGAATGAGAAGCAGGGAGACAGGAAGTTGTTTTGACAGTTTGGTGCAGTATAATAGTGGTTTGAATTGGGATGGTGGGGATGGAAGTGAAAAGCTGGAGTGAAATTTGGTGACACCTAGGATTTTGGCTTAAACAACTAAATGAATGAACAACTCATTTACTGACATCTTGAAGATTTGGTCATCCTTTCAATATTTGCTCAAATTTGATAAACCTGTGTTTCCCCTCATTCATTTTTCAGTTGGCAGATGTACCTTGCTACTGACAGTTGTCAGTGGCTGCTGGCCCACTTCTTTATCTGATGTCTGTGTCTCGATCTCTTCCACTTGGGTGCCAGTAGCTGAGAGGAATTCATCCTTTCTGTGTTCCATTATTTTATATTTTTATGACAGATGATGATGTCAAAGTTACAAAGGAGTTTTTCCTGGATCTGTTGAAGACTTGTTGGGTTAACTGAAGATCATGAAAAAGTTTCCCTTCTTTAGGGACGGGTCAGCTTTGGAGGTCATTGAAACTGGGAAAGAATCTTACAAGGCTACCGACCTTAGCAAAGAAACTTAAAAAATTTTTTTTCAGAAACAATTAACTGAGGGGACACATCTAGCCTTGTGGCCCTTTTCTCCTTTCTCTATGCCACTCTGCTATCTGAATTATTCTACATTGTTTTTACAAAACCCATAGCTTTTATGCTGTTCTTTGAGTAATGATGCACTTTATCACACCTGGTAGAGATTTACTAGTCATAAATGGAATTACTTGGGGGATTCTGTACAAGTCTAGACACCCTTTAACTCAAGAACTTATGAAGAAGGTTTATGATGAGCATAAGGCTTGTGATTATCTTTCTTGACTGTGGCAATACACAAACTTGTGTTGTCATCTTGACAGGTGAAGACCAAAATGAAAACACAGCTACAACCACATTTCTTGATTGTGATACGTTCCTGGAGATTTTATGATTTTAAAAATGTGCTTGCTGCCTGCCACTCTGCTACCAAAAATAGCTAGTCCGAAGGGGCTAAGTATTAGAGGACATTCCTGGAAATCAGTTCATCAGAGACCATTAGTGACAAAACATTCCTGAATTATTTTTCACAACCTTCTATCTCTGATAAATGAAACTAATTTCTGTCAAAAGAGCTAGGTCTTCTTTAAGAATCAAATATACTTCTTACTGCCAAAATGTGAAAAGAAAAAAAATGAACTTAAGTTGTAGTTTAGCGCAGCCATTCCAGAGTATCTAACTATTAATGGGAGTCAATGGCACCAAACACACCATGTACTACAATGCTGTTTTAGGAGGTGGAAGAAAGGATTGGAAGAAAAAAGTTTGGCATTTAAACCAGAAAATCTGGAGTCAGGGAGCTAAGAAGTTCTTTGTGAATAGTTCTATAACCATGAACAAGTTATTTTGCCTTTTTGATCCTGGGTCTTCGGCTATAAAACGCTGCCAAAAATGACTGCTCTGTGTCGTTTGTGTCAAAGACTGAAAGCGTCACATCAGTGAAAATCTGGATAGACACATTGCCACATATAAATCCGATGCTTTGTGATCTCACACTGCACGGATTTGGAAACTACTGCATATGCACGATTTTCCGCCTAGTTCCCTGCAGGTGAGGGAGTTTTGTTTGTTTGTTTTTTTTTTTTGGAAAGATAACTGTAGCCCTGCCCTGAAGATGATGAGGGCCACAGAGATTTTTCAGGGTGGAGTTATCCAGAAATTGACTTCGGGGCGAGTAAAACTAAGATTCAGGGAAGGCTGCAGCCACTTTTCCAGGGCAAGGGGCGGTGTCATTTGGAGAGGACGAAAGTGATTATAAAGCCACAGAACGTGGCGCCAGGGTTCAGCATTACGAACCATTTCAGGAAACGAAGCTCCGACCTCGGAGGCACCAAGATCCTTACCAACAACCCGGGACTCTCCCTTCAGGAGGGAGCCGGTGAGGACACAGATTCGAGGGCGGACGACACAGGGAGAGGACACAGGTTCCAGAAACTTCTGTCTTAAGGCTTTCGGGGATCCCTGAGAGTGCCCTTGAAGGCTCCGAGCGCAGGGAGCGGCCGCTGGGAAGTGGCGGTTACAGTCTCAGGTCCCGCACCCTTTCCCGCGCCTCCACTCACCGGTTCGGGCGCGCCCTGGGCACTAGCCTCGCGCGCCCCCAAGCCCACGCGGGTCTCTGCTTAGACTGTCGCGCCCCCGTCCGGCACGCGCCGCACCCACCGGCCCACCCAGTAACGGTTTCTGGACCCTCGGCCTCTTCCCCGCCCCCTCCTTCCCGGCTCACGAGATCCGCAGTGCTGCGCTTTTGGAGAGGGGTCATCCGCCCCGGAACCGACGTGAGCGGCCGCAGGGCCGGCCCGCGGAGGCGGCTGTGGGATACCCCACTTCCAGCCCGTCCCCTCGGCGCCGCACCCCGAGCTCTCTCCCTCAGCTCCGCGCCCCCCACCCTCCCCGCGCCCGTGCCCCCGCCCCCGCGCCCCCCGCTGCCCCTGCCACCCCCACCGCGCCGCTCCTCCCTCCCGCCCCCTCACTTCCCCGGCCCCCCCCGCCCTCCGCGGCGCGGCTCTCACGCGCAGCCGAATTCGGCGCCGCCTCCATCAGAGCCGAGCCGGCGGCTCCACGGAACCGCCGCCCCAGTCTCCGCCGCCGGGCTTTCCGCATCCCCTCCCCGTCCCGCCCCCCAGCCCCAGGCGCCCGGACCCCCTCCCCCTCCTCCCCCGTTCCTCCCTCCGGCCCGCCCCCTCCGCGCTCTCCGCAACTGCAGCCAGAGCCCGGCCCGCCAGCCGGGCGGGCAGGAGGGCGGCGGCGGCGGCGGCACAGCCATGAGCTTTGAGGGCGGCCAAGGCGGCAGTCGGTGTCGCGGGGCGGAGAGTGGGGACGCAGAGCCGCCCCCGCAGCCTCCATCGCCGCCGCCGCCGCTAGGAGAGCCGGCCCAGGTCCCCGCGGCCCCGCGCTACCTGCCCCCGCTGCCCGCGGCCCCCGCGGCCCCCGAGACCCCCGAGCGCGCCGCCGGGCCGAGAGAGTCGCCGGGAGAAGTGGCCCCGCGGCGCAGGGGCGCGGACGAGCTTCCACCGCCGCCGCTGCCTCTGCAGCTCGCCGGCCAGGAAGTGGCGGCTGCTGGCGACTTCGGGGAAGGTCCGAGGCGCCTCCCGGAGGCAGCAGCAGTGAAAGGCGGCCCCGGGGAGTCTGAGGCCGACGTGGGAGCCGAGGGCGAGCGGCGGGGTGCCGGCGACCAGCCCGAGACGCGCTCGGTGTGCAGCAGCCGCAGCAGCAGCAGTGGCGGCTGCGACCAACGTGCTGGGCACCAGCACCACCAGCCCATCTGCAAGATCTGCTTCCAGGGCGCGGAGCAGGTAAGGCCCGGCGGGACCCGCAGGCAGCCGGCGGCGGCTCCCACTCGCGCCAGTCCAGCTTTCAGCACCACGGACAGCGCACACCTCTTTTCTCAGTTTGCCTCCCACGAGCCTCCTCTGGTTCTGCTCTGTGAGCGCTGGCTCCAGCGTGCGTTCTTTCCCCATTCCCTTGCTGTGAAGGCAAATAAAAATGTCCCGGCGGCGAATACTGAGTTTAATTTCATCTACGCGTCTTTTTCCTTCCTGGCTTAGCAGTTACATGTTCCTCAGGTGCTTTAGTGATCATGCCAAAACTATATTTTGTGAATTACTCGATGGATTTTGGTTTATGCATAGAAGCAAACCTGTCAGATGTAAGGTGAAGTCCGTTTTCTACAAATGTATCTTGAGACGGATGTCGTATCACAGCCAGAAAGGGCAGGATCTTTCTTACTGCAAATTTTGGTGACTTAATCTCACCTATGTGAAAAGCATGTGATAGTTTTTGCAAGATAAATAGGAATGTACTTAGAAAGAAAGGCTATTAGGCCAACAATGAACTTTATATTCTGTCAGCAACACAATTCTAAAATTATAAACATTATTGTAGGTGCATGTAAACTTATATGAGAGTACTCATGCGGAAGAAAGAATAAGTTTATGTCCCTCGCAAATGTGTGGTCTGAGAAAACATTATGGGGAATATTTTTAAAAGTAAGGAAATTGCATATGAATATACAGGCTTTCAGGAATATAGTGCCCTAAGTCAATATTTATGATGCTGCATTTAGAAAAAAATAAAAGCATAGTGCTGCTTTCTGGGATGCCATGCGTTTCTTCTTTAGCAATGATTAAGAATAATTGCAGAGGAAATGCATCTGACCATCCACTTAAAAGTTATTAAAGAGATTTAATAGTACAGCTTTCCCCCACGGGTATTGGGAGCTATATCTTGCAGACATTTTGTATGTTGGTAGAACGTTTATGTCCTAACTCTAAGCAATATCATTGAAATAGTTTTAAGACTTTATTTAGTTTCAGTCCCATCAGACGTATAAAATTTTAATTTCATTTTCTAGGATAGAGCCTGATGCTGTATCCTGAGTAAATGGCTTTGAAAGAAAAGAAAGGAAGCATTAAGTTTTTACAATAGATACACAGACACAAGTATTTACACTGAGCTGTTTTCTTTTTAGGGTGAACTGTTAAACCCCTGCCGATGTGATGGGTCAGTTCGGTATACACATCAGCTGTGCCTGCTAAAGTGGATCAGTGAGAGAGGTTCCTGGACCTGTGAACTCTGCTGTTATAGATACCATGTTATAGCCATTAAAATGAAACAACCTTGCCAGGTAAGCAGCTTCAACATTTATTTTTCCTGAAATAATTTTGTTAACATGAATGCACTTAAGCTTAGTTATTACTAAGGATACTTACTTATGCTATTTAAAAAACATTTTGTGCAAATTACAGTAAAACCAAGATTTAGAATTTGTAAACATGTGTTTTGAGAAAGCCGTGACATTTTATCCAAGAAACTCAAAAGACATTTTAATCAAATGTTTCCTTTATTAATTTGTTACTTATTCATAAAATAATACTCATCTTATTTTCTAAAAACGCAAGTTGGTAACATGACTTATACCACACTTAAATCAATTTTATTCATTAGAAATGTTACACAGTTGATTTTATTAATATTTTGGTAACATAAGCATTTAAGCCCTAATGGGCTCTATTTATGAAAAACAGATACAAGTAAAGGAAAACTTTACTGGTGTGAAAACTTTGGTTAAACCTATTAGTTCTAATCTGAATGTTCTTTCCACTTAACCAGGCTTTCTTTTTCATATGATGTACTTTCGCAGTTATATTTTGGCTGATTTTCTTCTTTGCTATATTCAACTACAGAGTGGATGCAGAAGTATTCCCAACAGTTACTCTCAATAATACTACTGAAATAGTATTTTTACATATTCTTAAACTTTTTGTGTATAATCACGTAATAACACAATACACATAAATCTACAAGTGCCCTGGAGAATAGGCTTAAAATTTATTGTTAAACAGATTCAGGTTCTTTCAACAGACAGGTAGAATATAAAATATTAATAATGACATCTTAAGGAAAAGCAGAATTTTGTGTAATTTATGATATCTGGTAGGCTGAAGTTAAGCAGACGTAAAAGAATAGGGTTCAAAGCAGAGACAAAGGAGTAATGAAAAGAAAAATAATAGGGAATTGCAAAGTTGGGAGTGGGAAAATGTAATAAACTCTAGTGTTCCTTGTTGCTATCTAAATCACCCAGTTTGGTTTTTATTCAACAATGTAATATAGGTGGAACTATTAGTGTTTGCTGAAGGAACCTGGAAGCTGAATTACTAGTGCATTAATAATTTAAATTTCATGGTTTTAAATTTTTGCTTGCTTTATATAGTTTGCAATTAATTTGCATCTCTGATAGTCTCCATTTAAGGCATGATTAGCAAGCACAAAATGAAAATATGTATTTCTCAAGCTGACCTAAGGCTTATGAATGATTTGGAAAGAGAAAGCATAAATAATATGGTTGAGTGATATTACCATGCTGAAGACAAGCACAAACCTGACACTTTTCCCCAGAACCTCTGATTGAATTTCTTGGGTATCGGTCTATGAATCCATCATAGTTGTCTTGAAAAACAGATGAAACCATTTCAAAGACTAGTATATAGGTAGTATAATTGGATTTAAAACAGTTTTATCAATAAAAATATGTGAGAAAAAAAGAAGAGTTTTGGACTCTAGAGAAAAGTTCCCTGAGAAGAGCTATGGTCAGACTCTCATTGGCTGAAAGAGAAGACTATTTCAGAAACTTGAACTTATGACAACTATATGTTAGTTCATTTGGGATGATTAATTTTGAAGTAAATAGAGATAAGCACTTGATGTACATTTTAAAATAGAAAAGAGATAAAGAGCTGGGCAAAAAAATATATATTTACCAATTTTAATCCTATGGCAAAAAGAATTGGTTACTATTGCTTCATTTACAAAAGATTCAATAGTTATTTTTAAAAAGTAACTTCACAAACTTGCCTATGATTTTCCTTTTCCCCACAAAGAACTAAAAACCAAAAACGAATCCGGTATTACTAACCCATTTAGGATTAATTTTATAATGACATCTATAAATACTACTATTATCTGTAACCTGATCTGATTGTTGTAGTGACCTACAAAATCATATTCAGAAACAAAGCGGATGTGTGGTGATGGCAGCTCAGAACATTCTGGGGATGAAATGACTTTCCATGACTGCATTAGATGCACACCAAGCTGGGTACTCTTAATGAACAGAAATCAGTTGCAAATTTCCCCGAGTTTGAATTCTAACATATCGGAGTAGCTTATACTCAGATAAAGTTTAGCTGTTTGCCTGACATTTCTGTTATGGATGACTCATAAACTGAGCATTCACTCAGATTCTTCGTTTTCTCCCTTGCTGGTGTGGAGCCAATCCCTTGTAAGCAGGTGGTTTCTTGGATGTATATATACAGAGAATAAACAGTGATATTCACAAACATTTTGCCACACACTGTTCTGAATGCTTTATGTATATGGATATTGATACTTAATCTTCATGACAAGTCTAGAGGTGAGGAATATTGTCATTTCTATTTTACTCAAAGGGAAACTGAGGCACAGTAAAGTTAAGTAACTTCTACTAGGTACCTATCTAATAAAAGGCAAAGCCAGGATTCAGGCTTAGTCAGTCTGGCCCAGGGTCCACTGTCTTAGCTGCCCTGTTGGAGAGTGTGCTTCTCAGTCCCATCCTAGCCACCTTGATGTTTCTGGGTCTATCACGACTTGTCCTGGAAAAGGCGGGGACTAGTTTCAACCTGGGTCTTTAAGATGGGTTGGAAAGGTTTTGACTGTCTATTGTTGCATAACAATCCACCTCAATACTTGGTTCTTTAAACAACTGTCACTTATGATCTGTTAAGAGTCTATGGGTGGATGGAGGTCAGCTGAGAGGTCTTTCTCTGCGTGCTGCATCACGTGGAACTATCTTCATCCAAAGGCTTAACCAGGTTGGAACATCCAAGAAGTCTTGCTCATTTGACCTGGTTTTGGCTAGAAGCTCAGTTGGGGCTGCCACCTGGTGTCTTAGTTCTCTCTCCAAGTAGCTGCTGCTTCTTACTGTGGTAGCTGGGTTCCAAGTGCATGAAAGTGAAAGTTACAAATGTCTTAAGTACCAAGCTTGGAAGTGACGTGGTTTCACATCTGTTGGATTCTTTTGTATAAAGCTAGACACAGGCCCAACTCAGATTCAAGGGAAGGGGAAATAGACTCCACTTCTGGAGTCTGGCCCTTCTGCCATCTTTATCCACCATAGGAGGTAGCTTCTAAAATGGCCCTGCCTTCCTGACCTGCTCTCTGCATTTAGTCCTCATGAAGTCCAGGTAGATCAGCACATATCAATGTAACTTCCCTTCCAGGGCTCTGAACCAAAGGAGGTTAAAACAATGTATGCAAGCACTCACCAGTGGTGCTTGATATATAACCTCAAGCACTTTCACAAGTGAGTATTGCCATGTTGTATTTCCTTATGCTCAGAGGAAGATGAGGACAAAGAAAGGCAAGGAGCAGTTACCAGGAAGCAGGTGTGTGTGAGGAAAATGTGCTGCAGTGAACCTAACACTTTAGTTTTACTTGTTATTCTCATTGACATTTGAATTCTTTGAGAATTGGGGTCTAACCTCCCAATTTCATTGGATTTCACTGATGCTCAGCAATGTGACCCAATAGAAAGCTAGCAGATGTATCCTGTACAACACAGTTAAACCTGAATTGCTGTATCATTAGCAGTAGGAATTAATTAAGACATTTGAGGTAATTAAAATGCATTTACCTTCCTATCTACTTGCAGAATCTATTTTATTTATTAACATATCCAAGATGATACATTAAGGACAGTTTAAGAGTAAAGGCTAGTTCTGTTCTGAATCTGGTCTAAAATTAGTGAAACGGATGAGCATGTAAGATCAGTTTTATTTTGAGATGTTGGGAGAATTATACATTAATTAAGCCATATTCCAGCTTATGAATGGGTTCAGTATTTTTTCCAGAGGTATGATGGATCTTTGAAGAGGTAACATTTATGGGATAAAGTATTGTATGTGAAATTTTGAACTTCATATAAAAGACAGACTGTACTGCCTTGTATAGAAAAAGCTATGTAAATGGAAAGTAATATCTATGTTTATTTTAAACAAACTACTTAGACTCTTTGCATCTCCCTTGACTCATCTTCAGAAAGGAGATGACAATGGTACCTGTCTTATCCCTTATTTTGAGAATTAGACACAAAATGTGTATGAAATTCTTAGAATAACACCTGGCTCATAGCAGGTTCCATTTAAATGCTGGCTCTGGATATTGTGATCTGTTCAGTCAGCTCAGGGATGGGGATCTTCACTTGCTCACTGCCACAAGTCCTTTTTGTTTACTTCTCATTGTGTCACCAAAGTGAAGTTAGTGGCTCCTCTTCCCATATCATTCTTTACCCTTGGATTTTTATTCCTTGCTTTTTCTGGGATCCCACCTTGGTTTCTGACCAAATCAGTTGACATCCGTGATGGATGAATCAGCATTTTTAAAGCAGGTGTAATGAGATATAATGATTTCAGTGCAGTGAGCATATTAACTCTCCAGATGTCCCTCACCATGGGTCTTACTTATGTCCTTACTGGAGTTTACTCATAATTGGAGCAATGAGATGCTTTTAAATGTGGCCAAGCTCAGGGCAGCACTATTCAAAGTCAGCGAGCCATACTTCGTTTATACTTTTGAACAGCTCCTGTCAGGTGGGGTGCCTGTAACCAGTGAGTAGGTGGGAGGTTAGAGAAGTCTGAGACCCCTTGGGGGCAGTCACATAAGGAGCAGTAGCTGAGCATCAGTCACAAGCAGTCATGGTGTTCAACAGCTTTCCTTCTTCTTCCTCCTCCTTCGTTTCTTGGAGCACCAGAGGAAAGGACCAGGGTTATATGCCTGCCTTGCCTACTTGGGAAGGGACTGAGACTTGCGTGTGGTCCATAGGCCTTTCAGGGATTAGGCTTTGGCCACTGTTATTGGCTTATAATATTTTTTATTGGCCTTTCCCTTACTGCTTTTCATGTGAACTCTTCTGATGTGCTGTCAGCAGCAGATCTTCTTATAGCAGTTAGAATGACTCGGAAATCTCTTAGCAAGGAGAAGGACTTGAGATTTTTTTTTCATTTTTATCCCTTTTCTTAAAACCCTGGGATTTATCATAATGGATTTGAATCAGAGGGGAATTAGATAGCAGGTGGGGGTTTATTTGGCTAT